TGCAAAAGTTGTGGCTATGTGTTGGTTAAATAAAGTAATAAAAATAACACCAACAAGAAAACGAAATAATCTTTCTGTGAACACGGACATTAAAGTAAGTCGACCATTCAAGGCTCTGGAGCAGCATCCACATATAGCACCTTCCACAATCCAGTTTAATCGTGTAATAATAATTTAAAACAAACACAAAACGGGTCATAATGCATATCCTGAATCGTAGCCTTTGGGATTTTGCTAATTCCATAGTTTCATACTGCAATTTCAATCTGTAAATGATTAGTTGCTCAGTGAACTGCTATTTGTAAAGCTTACACTTGACTTTTTGTCCATCAGTTTGAGTAAAATGCAGCCGCACCGACGACTTCTTCAACACGCTGGCAGTTGGTTTGGAGGAAACCTTAAATATGTTCGACCTAACATTTCACTTTAGCTTGGGCGAGCTCAAAGTAGTGAAAATGCAGCAGTGTTCCCAGGTAGTCAGTTCATCCCACTGCCAAAATAAAAGGATTCATCTTTTTATGAAAGTTACAGCGGTGATTGTTCGACTGATGAGAATCTGCTCGGATGAGAGTTTATCGACAGACCAAAAGACTGCGGCCTAGAAATGGCATTCGTATCACAAATTTATACAAAGGCATTAACAAGCAGTTGGCAGCAGCAACTCTAGTTTAGGCAGCTGCTGAACTGAACTAGCGGACCATCTAATCTAAAGTTTCAACTGCCTGCCTTTTCCCCAGAGGCTACGAGCTGCCCTTGATGTCAAAGAAGAAAGGGGACCATTAAAAATCAAACAAAAGGCTCGAGAACAAAATATGATTAGAAAAAAATCCGTTAGTCCATCTCTTTGAATCAGTTGCACGTGCTGCTACCGGCTTTCGTCTTCGTACGAAACGGTGGCTCAGTGCGACTCCTGTCCTGAATCTGTCTCCTTTGTCCCCGCAGTCCGCAGACAAGCAGCGAGCGCTGGAGGAAACCAAGAGCTACACCACCCAGTCTCTGGCCAGCGTCGCCTACCTCATCAACACGCTGGCCAACAATGTGCTGCAGATGCTGGACATCCAGGCCTCGCAGCTCCGTCGCATGGAGAGCTCCGTCAACCACATTTCACAGGTCTGCTCACCGTTTAATGCTCTTTTGAGAGGATCAAGCTGCTGAGAAGGCTCCTGAATATCAAAGTTTTTCCCAACAGTAACACCGTACAGATGGGTGAAAGTCAGACAAATAAGAAAAGTTATTATCATTACACACACCCACACACTAGCTTCATTGTCCGAGCCAGGTGTCTGCAGGCAAGCATGCTTTATATTTGATGAACACTGACTTTAAAATCTGCTGGCATGTGTGCAGGCAGAGGCATTTGTACGCCCGGTGCATAAAATCACACATAGCTGTACACCCATAGTGAGAGGACTCATGGGTACAAGCACACTATGTAATCATGCATGCATGCATGCAGGCTCATTTATGTTCAGCGCTCTCTGGACGCTGCTCTTCTCCATGTGTAGTATGGAGTGCAGCAGCCCAGAAATTATCTCAGAAATAACGCCCAGCGGTATGAAACTGCAGGGAGGTGAATGAACAGCAGAAAGCGGCCAGAGTGCAAAAACATGTATTCTTTTCCTTCTGCGCACACGAGAACGTGATAAACGTGAGGCTTAAAGGTAATATTTTCTTAGGGGGCCAGTATAGAAGCAGACAGAATGCCATCAGCAGATCTGGTAGCTTTAGAGTAGCTATAATCAATATTTTTATAACCGCGTCTGAAGTGACAATGTGAAAACAGTGTGTGATGTGAAAGGTGCCTCTGGAGATGGAGAATTATCGGCTCTGCGGAGGTTCATAACGAGTTTCGCCTCATTGTTCGGCTGTCTGGCTGCAACTTCAAACTACTTTTGTTTCACTCTTCGCTTTCATGGCGTCATTATCAGCAGCAGCAGGCAGCTGTGTTCAGAGAAAGAGCCTTCAAAAGCTGCTACCTGCTCAACAGGAGTGGAAGGAAAAACTTGGATGATGCTAAAATCAAGTGGACAGAAAGTTTGCTAGCCAGGTTAATGCTCCATGTAAATATTGCTGTATGATCAAAACCATGATAAGACTCACAATCAGGACTCTAATGTCTGAGTAAACATACTTAATGAGTACGTTAAAGTCCTTTTCAGACATGGGATGCGTAACCCTGACACTTTTAAAGTGACGACATTCAGACGTCGCTTTTACATTAAAGTTACTCATGACTTCATCCAGACCAATCCATGAAAGTGACAGAGAGTGACATGGACTAGACACTAAAAAATAATAGACAACCTCTAAACTAATAGCAAGTTTATCAAACTGTCTGACAGCCAAGTTTATTTAGGATTTCTTAAACACTACAATTCTGTCCACGTGTGATGATAATCTAACTGCTACTTAACAGTAAATAAAAATATCCCAACAGCTCTGATGGAGCTCAGAACTCAACCAAAATGATTTACCTGCAGCTGATACAGAAAGGTCCACAGTGTGTCCTGTTGTCAGATCCTAATCAATCCTGTCTCCATGTCAGGGATAGTTTAATTAATAGTTTAATTAATGGAGTTACTGCTGCCATTCCGTGTGAGTAAATATGACTTCTAACTTTGAAGATCCTGCTGCTGTCTGATGCTGCAGGTATTTAATAACCTCAGAGGAAAGACGTCTAAACAGCTGGAATCAACAAACTAAACTTAAGCTCCTGTTTATGTTTCGTCAAAACTTAGTTCCGGCACTGATCCAGGCGGCAGCAGCCAGTTTGGGTTAGTGTGTCAGCGTCTTCTCACTTCCTACATTCCATGATTTCTTTTGAGATTAAAGGATGGATAGATGGATAGACAAAACCACTAAAAACACATAAACAAACCCTTTAAAAAACACGTACCTACGGAGCTACACGGGCTTGCTGCGACTCAGAGCTGCGCACCAGGAAGAGACTAGTAAAGTTTTGTCTTATATCTCTGAAAAATGTCACTAACATGACCTGTTGCAGGCGCTGTCTTCATTCCACTCATTTTTTCGCAATTCTTTTTAAACATCTCAGTTTGTAAATACACAAGAAATTATAGGGCAAAAAGAAAAAAAATCAATCTGTTGCTCTGTGCGATGTTTTGGACCAATATTAAAACAGCTTTGCCCAAACTGCTTCACACAACTCCCAGTTTGTTGCTTGTAAGTGTCTATCTGTTAAATCAACTGCATGCAATTCAGATTTGTGCCACCTTGTAAGATTGCCGTCACGATTTTTACGGAGAAGTGAGCAGAGAGATGCAGCCGACACACTCAGATTTTGTAGATAACCGACGGGAGTGAATCTCCTTTATTACTCCCTTTTTAAGAACTTTGATAGATTGCCTCCAAAATATCCCCGCTTTTATTGAAATGCAAAAATCTGGGAGGACAAAGCAAGCGGCTCGTCTTTGTGTTTGTCAGCTGGTCAGTCAAATAAAACCACCTGAAGGTGTGATCACACCCGAGAGCGTAGTAAGCGTGAGGCATCACCAGTGATGCGATCAGACTTACACAACACTCTGCACCCACACATCTCACACCGCAGCTGGGTCCAACGCATTCATATTCCTCGGCAAACTCCGAGAGCTCAAAAGGAAAGCTGACAGTCGCTCAGTGCTCTCTGTTCAGAGGACGCGTCTGTAGGAAATGGATGCGTTTTCATTCACTGAATACTGAAATCCTAAACAGTCCCTTTACACAGTCACTGTGCACGCAAAAGGAATAAAATGGTATTTTTCTCTCCGACAGAGGGTCCATTCTCCTCCTCAGACCTCTGAATAATCAGTATAATCAGAATACTCTGCATGCAGAAATAATGAGATGCTTCTGTGTGCGTTATGTCAGGCCGGGCTGCGGTTGCACGTCATAATTACCGCTTTCTGTTCAGTGAGAACAGTCACGTCTGTTATTTAGGCGAAACGCTACATGTGGCGAGGCTCCCTCACATAAGGAACCACACTGACTAAATGCATTTTGCATGTCGTGATGCAGTAATCGGCCGACAGAGTGGTCATGTAACACGAAGAAACGGCCGAACGCACTCGTAGCACCGACCAGATGCTCTGTCTCATATGAAACAGAGGATTTAGTCTAAAAAAGGTAAAAAGGTTTGTACTGTAAACGTACAGTGAGTGTCACCAATCTGTAATAACCCCAGATACCATCCAGCTGGTCTTATAAATCCATTATATGTTCGTAACAAACTGCCGTCTGACATAACTATCTGTGTATGATTGTGCTGTTTTCATTTGAAGTGTTTCTGTATTTGCTGAGCGTGAGCAGTCCAAGGGATTTACTAAAAGAAGTGCAAAGTTCGCTTGTGTTTGTTTTCTCACCACCTGCTTAATGTGTTGTTGGACGTTTGCGCGCTGCCAAAACAGCTCTGATCCGCCGAGGCCTGGACTCTACAAGACCTCTGCAGGTGCATCTGGCGCCAAGACGTTAACAGCAGATCCTTCACATCGATTAAACCCCTAAAAACTCACCTCTGTGCATCGGAGCAACATATGCAGACGTTTGTTGGGGGAAAAATAATCCCTTAAGCTTGGATGTAACCACACTGTTGCTTCCTTTTATATTTGTGTGCCTCTATGAAGTCCCTGCCTCTCTGTTCCAAACATCCATCCGCATTTCGCTGCAGCTCGAGTACACCAGTTCACCCACGACTCTGCTCAAGTAGATGAAATAGCAAGTTGTAACACTGGAGTAACTCAGCCATACATGTTCAAACTGATTCTGAAGAAGAACAAAGATGCGCCCTCTTGTTGAAAGGTTTAGATTTGTTATGAATAAAACCCCGAATATCTGAATCCGTGTTCTTGAGACTGTCATCGATAAGCTGCGGTTTCAAAGTGGAAGATGCTCAGCTAAGGTGTCGACCGCATAATGTGCTCATGATGTGTGTCTTCCAAGCAAATAAAATCCACCATGTGAACATGTTAACAAGGCTGATTTGTACTGGAGGAAGTCTTTAAGTTGAAGTGCTTCTTGCATAAAGATGTGAGCAGCAGATCCTTGATTCGGGTAAATTACGAGTCCTGGATCAGACGTTTTCCAGCACATTCACCAACTTCGAGTCAGATCAGGGTTTGTCCAGCCCTGATGGAGGTGATGGTGGCCCTATCTGCTCATGTAACCTTGACTTATACTGTTATTGAATCAATGCAGAGCTTTACACAAGTGGTCTGCGCCATTGTGAGCATTTATACTTGTGCTCAATCGCCGCCAAAATGCTAGCTAGCATTGGGGTTTCTAAGCTAATGAGTTGAGTTTCTCCGTGTACTTTAAACAACAGCAGCTGACACAAAGCTGACTCTGTTAGCTTTAAGGCTAAGAAATGCGGAACAAGAGTCACTTTTACCAAAAATACACAAACACAGAAAAGAAAGGAGATGTCGGAACCATTTGGGTCTATACACGGAGCAGTAGAGCTATGAAAAGGAGAAACCAGAATAATGGCTCTTGTGTTTGCATTATGAGAAATCCAGACACAATTACAACCTTTTGCGTTATCTTTGCACAAATCATTATGCATGTGAACATGATTTATGTGTAGTTAAAGTTCTAGGGACATGCATGTCAGTATAAAAGTATAAGACAAGCTTTACCCTCTACTTTAGGTGCATGTCCAGACCTTGACATGTGCCGCTGCTATGAAACAACCATGACGTAGTAACGTTTTGGGTCATACTTTGGCTGACATCTTGCTTTATTGTCTAAAATCCAACACACACTGGTAGCATCTTGTTGCAGCCACCTTCCAAGACTGCTGCTTTATATGTAGGGTCACCAAGGATTTGCATAACTTAACAGTAACAGCATCTTTAACTTAAGCTAATTGTTTAGTCCCCAGTCAGGATCCAGCTTATACTTAACAGCTTCTTTAAATGCTTTTTATTGTTTCCCATAATCTGCGAAGTGCTCATTGTAGCGTCGCTGAGCTGTGAAGGATTAGTCATGCTGGACTTTGCATTTGTTTTTTTTTCCATCTTTACCTCAGAAGTTGCAGAAAATTTTCCCCCAAGTGCGTTGTTTCACTCGAACAGTACCACTTTCTACACCTTCTGTTTGTTTACTCACTACAGACAGGTCATATAGTTCACATCATCCACATGGGTTTATTAGCATTTTAATATGAAACACTTTGCAGTCCAGACCAGGACTTGAGTCTGCCAGTTGTTGACCACTGGTTGAGCCTATAAAATATCTAATAATACTAAAAGTAATCTCTATAATTTCCCAAAACCAAGGTGACAAATTCATATATCTTGTTTTGTCAGTCTGTCTCAAACCCAGACATATTTATTTTTCAAAAGAAGCAGTAAATCCTCCTGTGTCTGAAGGTAAATTCCCCTGTAATGCACCACAGAAAATATGAGTAATAGTTGTCCTGACTGCAGGCTTGAAGGACAGGTTTTCATCCATATTCAAAAGCAGTTCTCCGAGTGTGAGAGCACAGAGCTGTGTGAAATGTGTTTCTGTCACTGAATAAATTTGGGGTTTTTGAGCCGTCGGTGACAAAATAAAAGAAGCGCACCCCTACAGACTTTTGAAACTTGTCAGACTTCCTATAAACGACGTGATTAGCGAATCGGGACAACAGGAAAGAAGATGATCATTGTTTCAGATAACGGTTAGCTGCAGCCCCAAGTTTTTAATTAAAGCTACTTTTGTGAGAGAAAGTCCAATGTTGACATAAATGGCACAAGCAGAACAAAAGGGATTTAGCGTCTGTCACTGTGTGGCAGCTGTAACACACACAGAGGCCGTTCAGAAAGCATTCATTTCAAAATGTCTGCATGTATATGGCTTTGTATTCAAGGTTAAGGAGTTTCACGAGTGTGTTGACTCAAAGAGGAGAAATGTGCGGCTGTACAGAACGACTGTCGTGTTGCAAACATCAGCCGCTCACTGAACTCATTAAACCAGCAGGTTCGTTTAGCAAAGAAACGCTCTGTAGAAATAATGTAAAGGTTTTTCTGTCAGACCTAATTTTCGGTGTGTTGAATAGCAGTGAAATATCTCAGCACCTGTTTGATGGATTTGGATAAAATGTGGTTCAGGGGTTCATGTTCACCTCAGGAGGAAGTGTATGACTGTGGTGATCCTCTGGGTTAAAATTTAAATGTCTTCAGAACACATTTTAATAATAAAAAACCTGACAACCTTCTCAGCTGGCTCTTGTGTTTATGGTAATGAGCAAACTTAACATCTTTAAGGCTAATTCATGCTTTTAACGTTAATCTATCAAAGCCTGCAGGGGTGCACATGGGCTGTTTGCATTGCAAGTGTGCCGACTTTGCATGTGGCAGGAAAACAAACATTGCTCAGGGAGTTAAGGAGTTCTAAAGTCTCCAGAAATCCTGTAATATGTCCATCCACTGTGCTCAGAATGTTTCACGAAAGTCACATTGACGCAGAGCCACGCTTAAATCTGTTTCTAACAACTAAATTATGTTAAGAAAAGGTACAATTACATCCTTTCAGAAACATCCAAAGAGGCAAAGAGAAGATGAATAACTCCCTGTTGAATTATGATAACAACCACGTGTGCATCCGCTGTCTGCTTTCAAACTCTGCACTGCTCATGCAGAAACAATGAATTTGCGTTATTTGCTTCTGTAGGTGCTTTGATTTGTACGTGCTTTCCATCGACGGTTCCCAAACACAGTAGGAAGTTCTAAATTCTCCAGGAATCCTGTGCTATGTCCGCCCACTGTGCTCGGCATATTTGGAGAAAGTCACAAACTACTATATCCCGTAAAAAGTACAACGTCGCATCCTTTCAGAAACATTCCCTGTAGCCTCGTGTGGTTTTTTTGTTTTTCGATATGAGGGGCAAAGAGAAAACGAACACGTACCTGTTGTAGCATATTTTAAAACTGCAGAAACTATGACTTTACTTTAGCAGGCAAAGGCAGCATGTTAGCATTGATTGTACTCCCTCACAAACACAGAAAGCCGTGGATGCTGTAGACAAGTAGTTACTGTTTTTTTACTACCTTCTTAGTTTGCTGGTTCCACACTCCATTCCTAATACTCAGTAGGTTCTATCTACACGCTTTAACAGTGCTACCAAGCATGCACACCTTTGCTCTTGTGAGGTAGTTGCTGCACAAACACAAATTTTGGGCTGTACATGAGCATGTGTCAAGTGGTCCGTGGAGAATCTTCCAAACTTGAGGAGATGACAAAATCTGTGACGCTTGTGTAGCCAAAGATGTGGAAAGTATAACCCTGGCCTGAGCATGTCAGCATTAGGATTTCACTAGCAAAACTTTCAGCATAAACACGAGTGATTTCAGGTTGGATCAATCACACATCGTCAACCGGATTCCTCTTCTAGTTTGTTCTTTTATGTTATTATGTTTTAAAAACTCAACCTTTAGAGTTAACTGGACCTGCAGTGGTTCATCTTGGTCACAGGGCATCACAATCATTCTTCCTCCCATTCGCTCCTTTCAGACCGTTGACATTCACAAGGAGAAGGTGGCGCGGCGGGAGATCGGCATCCTGACCACCAACAAAAACACCACTCGCTCTCATAAAATCGTCGCTCCGGCCAATCCAGAGAGGCCGGTGCGCTACATCAGGAAGCCCATCGACTACAGCGTGCTGGACGACATTGGACACGGAGTCAAGGTGAGTAGAAAGATAAAAACGTCAAGCTAAAGTCCAATAACAATAATAATCGTCGGCTTTATTTATGTAGCTCTAGAGCTGGAAAATCAATCAGATGTTATTCATGATCATGAATTTAGCATCCTAGAAATAAGTGAACAGAATTTACTGTTCCATCGATCATAGAAAACAGCTCACCTACATGAAATCAGTTGGTCTCAACATTAGAACACCTTTTTAAAAAATGATTTCCAAGCTAATTTTTTGGTCTCACGACTGAATTGCTGCAGTAACTGAGAGGAGACTAAAGGCTTCTCTGTGCACTGACTGGTGTCTACTGTTGCCTGCATCTGGAACATCAGCAAATTTTAGTTGTTTACAGTTTTATTTATATGATGCCTCTAGGAGATGTTATAAATTTAAATGGAGACTATTTTTTAGTCTTATTTTGAAGTAAATTGTTGTACATTAGCAGGAATGTTGCACAACATGCAAGTAAAACCAGTACAATAAAAACATCTTACAGCTAAAAAACCAATGAATCACTATGATAAACAATTGTGATCTCAATACTGATATAAAAAAATTTAGATTATTATGTATGTGGCACCTTTGAAAACGATATTATAAAGGAAAGCAAAGGTTAAACCAATTCCTCAACCGTTAAAAAAAGGCATTTATCAACTTACAAAAAAGTTTAAGAATAAATAAAAGACAAAATACACCACATAAAAATTAAATTAATTAAAATTACAACAAAATAAATGATAATTGGAGTAACCAAACTACAACAAAAGAATAGTTTTTACAGTGATTCCTCCACTTTTTGTACATGCCTTTGCTCAAAAGACAACACACTTCCCAGTCAGTTAAACTTTAATTTTAATTGAGGCTTTTCGGAAAGTTAGAAAACACTTGAGGAGAGCTTTGCTTGTATTAAATGTGCTCCGGTCAGGTGGTTATTTGCCAGTTTATTCTGATACAACCTTATTTCTATTTCCACTGATGAAGCCAAATCGTGCTGGTTGTAGATGTCATCTGTACCACTTTCTACCTGGCTGGTTTACACAACACCTGGGCTTCGGCACAGGGAGACATCTAACATGTTGGATGCTACAGTTTATCAGCGTTTGATAAAATATTAATTAGCAGTTTAACCAGCTACTATATCTGAGGTAGCGATGTTTATTCATTCACTAATCGTGAACATCTCTATTAAAAACAAAGGAGTAGCTGTGACCCTTCAGGCGAATTTCCAATCCTCCATCTTCCCCTCCAGAGGGAATATGCACGTCTAAATATACACTCGCACAGTTCCAGCGTTTGTGTCTGCTCATATAAATACTCGGCCATGTACCCACGCATATACAACATATACGAACATGTGCTTCTAGTTCACGCCATCTCGAATTATTAATCAGTATTATAAGAATGTTGCAGACTGCGGGGAGTTTTGGCTTGTAGCGCTGCAGAAACTCTGTGATATAACTGGGAACCAAGCCATGAAGTGATAAATAAAGTCATCTTTAAAGCTTGTAAAGCCAGTGTAAAGACACCAGAGCTGGAGCTATGTAATCCTGTCTGAACTATTCAATTAAAAAAGGCGTCATTTTATTTGTTTTCAGTGTCTCTAAATTGGGCCGTCAAGTCCACATAGCTGAAATCAAACATAAAATCCACCAGAATCAATATATCGCTGACCAGATGTAGCGCAAACAGAAGACCAGTCATAAGGAGAGAATACAATAGTACGAATAATAACAACGAGAGCTAAATAAGGCTATCTCAGCCGCAGAATGATTGGATCTACACTTGTATGTTTGTGTGTATAACTGCCATTGTGTCACTAAATATGTAGACGAGACACTCTGCTGTACAAAGCCCATGTGTAGGACAAGTAGCATTAATTATCGAGCTACTGTGTTTTAGCAATTACTTATTTAAGTGCACTTGTCATTGTTGGAGCTGCCTCACATCCTTTCACAGCGTAGTCCTCATCTATTTCTGTCGCCTTTTTGTCTGTCTAATCCGAGTCTCTCTTTCTGCCATGTTGTTTCTGCCCCGTTTCTAATGATGTTTGCACGACGCCGTTGGACTTTCACTAATCTCTAGTCGACTCTCTCTCCTCTTTTCTTCCTCCCATTGCCGTCATTGACGCGTTAAGTGGTTGTTGAGGTTCAAGGTAAGGATTCGCAGCACACCTTCACACAATACAAGGAAAATGCATTTTTAAAACTTTAAAAGCAACAGGACATAACGGTGCCGAACAAAAGATCTGCTCACTGACGATCGGCAACGTTATCAATCGATAATCAATTAATCAATAGCATGACTCACACTTTATATTTCGCTACAATGGCTTAGATGTTAAATGGTAGAAAAGAACATTATTCAAGCAGATTTTTATTCCCTAGAAATGACAACTCTGGCTGTTAACCATAAACCATCACAGAAGACTTGGTCGTGGTTGCATTTTATTAGCTACCAGCAGCATTATCAATCAATAATCGATTAATCAATAGCATGACTTACATTGTGCAGTTTACTGAGATGCATTGTTAATTTGTAATGAACACTAGTCTCAGAAAAGCTCTAACCACTGACCTTCTCAGAAGACTTTGTCCTAACTCCCACACGATGCGCTCCACCTGGTGGCGCAGCCTGGTACTACAGCTAATCTATAATACTTTTACTACATGCATGTCCTTCCTCATCTGCCTAATCGGTTAATATATTTTTGATCGGTTACACAATTAACTGCAAGCAAATTCAATGAAACATCCCTAATCAACAACAGACACGTAGTAGAAGTAGAGGGAGTGATCGGCGCTATCACACACTTCGTATCGCAGGTTTAGCTAATGTTACCCCAAGGCCATTTATAATCGGCATGCACGTTTGCTGCTGGTGAGGAGGTGTAAATTTCAGGATGCCGTGACACCAGCATCCCACTTCTTGCTATGTTTTGTCCTTAGTGTGGGTTCTGCGGTTGCCATGGTAAATAAAAGCTGCTATTGTTAACCCCTCTCCGCAGCAGCTTTCTGCCTGTTCCCACCTGATTTTACAAATGTCCAGCGAATGATTAATAAGTCGCAGGAGCATGGTCGATGGCTTTAGCTGCACGCGACACTCGTAGCATTAACCCTCTGAAGAGCTGTCTGTGTGTTCTAAGGGCATGTTGTTTATCAGAAACTGTAAAAACTGAATAGTCGTAAGTACCATGTTTAGTGTCCAGTTCAGTCAGGAAAAACAGCAGAATTTAAATTTAAAATTGGGAGATTTACTCAAAGTCTGTTTATTCTGTACACCAAAAACAAACCATTTGCACCAGATCCTGCAGAAGAAGAAAGAAGACCCTGCAAGTTCCTCAGAACAACTAAAGAATTAACTCCGCTGTCTCAACACTCAAAACTCGGTGAATATTTTGCTGACGTGCAGGCTGTGTTGACACAGATATCAAATATCTTACTAGAGCTGAAGTGCAGAGTAGCATGAAAAAGTTTGTAGAGGTTGTAAAAATGTAAATAACTATAGCGTACCATGTTTATTTTCCACCATCCTTAACACCTCTCGACACTTGAATAAATGCTGTAGACATTCATTGCAGATGTTTTTAAAATTTTTGAGACTTGTGTTTATGATTTCTGGCATTTACTTTACCTTGCTGCACAAAACAAATTTATCAGTTGTCGCTGCTTTTAGTCGTCATTGTGCTGTTTCTGTAGCGGTGCAGGACTTTATATTGCAATGAAAAATGAGACCATGTGACAGGAGCAAAAACTGCTCGGAGTTCAGTTTTTTTTTTTTTAATCAATGATCTTTTTATTGAATTTTCAAACAAGAGAATTAAAAATGTAAAGATTTCCTTTGTTTGTTACACAGCAGTACAAAGTAAAAAGTAGTAGTGAGCACAATTTCTATGCAGAACATTTGTACAGTGACAACTCAAAATGAAAAAGACAAACAAACCAAAAACAGACAAACAAACAAAAAAAAAAAAACCCACAAGAAAAATCATCAATCTGCAGAACATTCACAGAAAAAACCAACACAGTCAGAGAGTGACACTGGTAGTAAGTCCTCAAAGCAGCAAGAAGGAGTTCAGGTTTTTAAGTGAATATAAATAAATTACTTACCACAAAAATATAATGCATTTGTCTTTTTCAAAAGTGTGTGCATGTAATGTTTTTGTTTTACAAGTGAACGTACTAAAAATGAAAGAAAGGTTGCAAATTAATTACAGTGTTGAGGGGCCATAAATTCAGTAATCTGAGGCGACTCCAACTCAAAACTTTCAGGACTCAAAGGATCAGCTGCGAACATCTTGGACACCTCCTGAGAGTCCAGAACTCGCTGATTGATTAGCCCATCGGTGCATGACCACATTATGAATTCTAGGCTTTTCGCAAGGCCCGAGCCGAGCTAAATGCTAACCTTTAGCGTTGTGTGTTTCCGCAGGTGAACGGCCAGCAGAACATGAAGCTAGGAGGGAGTCTGTCCCGGTCCAATCCTCCCACCCAGAAGCCGCCCAGCCCTCCGAGGGCAGGAAAGGGCATCTTAGGGTATGTAACGCCCCCGTGCATGCATGTCTTGGTTGTATGTAAGAAGAACTGACTCGGTGTACTTCCTGGATTCACCTTTTTTTCTGTTGTGCGTTTCTATTTTGTGTCCTGAACGTCTGTGGCATCTTATCTTCAACTTTAAAGACAAATCTGGCATCACGGATCGACGTGTGTTGTCATTTGCACAGATTTTGAACTGAGTCGTGTGCGTTTTTTTTTTTTTTTTTTCTGTGTTTTGTGTGTCTCTTGTGGAAGGACGGAGTATCCTGCGGCGAGCTTATTACAGATTTGACCCGGCAGAGGGGAATGACACACACACACACACACACACACACACACACAGACACACACACGGAGTGAAACGCAGCGCTCAGAGGAATAACGTCATGCGTTGTGAAAGCTTGTTGTGTTCTCTCCCCTCAAACATCTAGGTCACCCAGCTGTATCCCTCCTTCCTTCTCCCTCTCCTCATCTTCACCTCCTTTTTGCCGCTTTTTTTTTTCTCTTTCATCCTTCATCTTACTTTCTCTGAATCCATCTCTCTCTTACTGCATCTCTTCTGATCTTCACCTCTAACCTCCGTCTCTCTCTCGCCTTTTCTTTGGGGAGAGCTCCAAAGCCTTTTTTTCCCTGTGTGTTTATTTTAAAGAGGAGTGCAATAGACAGATTGTGAATTTTCAAAGTCTGGTACTGTTGGCCAGCTCTCAAACTAAACTGAGACTCTTCCAACTTACCCTATACATTACCTCCTCTTCCCCCTAAATAGCAGAGTCACTGAGTTTAGTCGGAGAATGTGTTAGGTTTATTATTATGATGTTTTTGTACAGATTAAACTAGACAAGTTGTTTTTTTTTAGAGGTACCTTGACACTGAGCGAGGCTACCTGCCCCCTCTGTTTTGAGCCTTTATGCTAAGCTAAGCTAAAAGAGTAGTGTAATGGTTTGTGTGCAGAAGACAGATTTTACATTTTCAAAGTCTGGTACTGTGGGCCACCCCTTCAACACACCCTCTATACCCTCTAGTCAGTTAGCTGTTGAGTGCAACTGGAGCTCATTTTATTTTGCCTGCATATGTTTAGATCTTGTCCCCATTAAATATGTCCTGACTTAGCTCTTAGCAGGTCTTGTTTGCGGTGCACCCTGAAACAACTCTGGCTGGATGACTCTGATAATGAAGGAAACTTCCTGCAGAAAGTTATAAGGAGCGTCTTTTTCTCGATGATTTCCAATCAGAGATAATGATGTCTTTTGCAAAGTGTGAGTTACAAGGAATCTAAAACTTGGCACGTCATGGAGGAGCACGGTTCACGATGCAAACTGCAGCAATCAGCCGCTAATTGTTTTAAAGTGACGTCCTCGTTAGCCGTGTGTTGTAGCTGCTGCAACAAGCAGCCAAATCAGCAGCCAAATAACAAGAACTAAACTCCTGCACCTGTAACTTTAACCTCACCCCGATGTCTTTCTACCCAATTCTCCTCTTCTGCTCTAATATCATGCAGGCTGTTCGCTTAGCTTAGCTTAGCTTAGCTTAGCATAAATGCTGCAAATGTTGACTTCTTATTCGTCATTACAGGTGGGCGATGCAACCATAGATGACTGAATGACGGTCTTTCAAGGGCAAAATCACGATCTAAATTATAATTCACTTCACAGATTTAATTGAACTCATCATTAGTTGCATATACGACTGCCTTAACACAAAGCTGTCACTTCAACTCAATGCTAAAGGCTCAACTCAAATTTCTGCATCTTGTTTTCACTCAAAGTATAATTCTTAGCTGCTTCAATGCTTGTTGACCTTCCACCCCATAAGGCCAGCTAAATAATCGGTATTGGTTGAGCGTCATCATTCCAGATCGGTGTTTGCTGCTTAGATGCACAGTGATGGTAGTTTCTGACATGAAAACACCCCAAAAAACGTTAACCTCGAGCTGCCTCCTCTTTATTCCTAACTTTTTATGGACAAACAGAACTGTGATAACGTGCTGCCAAGACATTAGTGTATGACTCATTTCATAGGCGCAGTCCCAGCTTACCCACACACTGCAGCACTGATAGCCTCGACCGTTCCACTGGTAGCACTGGTGACACCAAGTTTCTCGGTTGGTTGCACCAGCACACGATTTGGTTACAGATTTTATCTACGTGGGCTGTTTTCTATGAGTGGACGTCACCATATCAGCCTCTCTAAAGGTCGCGTATGTAATTTTGGTCACAGACTGGAGTCCTGTTGTACATCAGGCTAAACTAGTTACAACATTTATCAAACAACATGAACACTATGATCCAGAGAAACAGGCTAAATACAGCAGATTTCTGCACAGATGGTCTGTTGTCTAAAACATGCAAAGTTCATGCAATTAACTTACACAATGAGTTTGAATAGAAACTACACTGACAGTCTCTGATAAGAATGATTCTCAACAACACTTCTTTCAGGCTGTTGGTCCACTCGCTGCTATCCCAAAAGAAGTTACGCCTCTAAGATTTAAATACATCCAGGAAGCTTCATCCTAAATTGTCACAACTAATCATGTTTTACTTAGTTCTGATAGAGCAGGAAAGTTTTGGCAGCACCATTATTGATTTATTTAACGACATGATCTGTACGATTCCTCTGAAAAACAAACCAGATGCCACATTATCATCAGATTGCCCACCTCTGACTTCCATTTTTGTTTTGTACAAATTAAACTAGATATAATCTGTTTTTCAGTGTGTATTTGGACAAAACCACGTTAGCTGTTTCCCCCGTTTTGAGTCTAAATGCTAAGCTAACCAGCTGCCGAATGCAGCTGAACAATCCTTTTATCTAACCACATGTTTACCAAACCTTTAGCGATTTCTCATGCCAGCGCACTAATTCACTGCGATACTTGTTCTATCTCCCTTTTTGTTTCATGCAATCTGTTTTGAGTCTTTGTGCTAAACTAACTGGCTGCAGAATGTAGCATAACAGACAGACATGACAGACATTTTTACCAAAACTTTTTTAGAATTTCTCATGCTGGAGCACGAATTCGCTGCGCTAATTATTACAGCACTTATATGTCATAGTATGTTTATGTGTGTGCAGTTAGCTGAACTAGCATCATCCATCCCTCCCGTTAGCTGCATCAGTGTGCCTTTTTATTTCCCATAATCCACTTTGAGTCTTTATGCTAAGCTAAGCTAACCAGCTGCAGAATGTAGCCTAACAGACAGACATGAGAGGTATCAATCTTCTTATCTCATCCTATTTGTACCAAAACTATGCAGGATTTCTCATGTTAGAGCACTAATTCATTGCGATGCTTATTCCAACACTCGTATGTTCAAGTATTTTCACGTGTGTGCAGCCAGCTTGACTAGCATCATGGCATCTCTCCTCTTGCCTGCATCTTTTTATTTCCAGTAATCTGTTTTGAGTCTTTATGCTAAGCTAAGCTAACCACCTGCTGAGTGTAGGCTAACAGACAGACATGATTGGTATCAATCTTCTTATCCAATCCTATTTGTACCAAAACTATGCAGGACTTCTCATGCTAGAGCACTAATTCGCTACGCTAATTATTACAGCACTTGAAGTCGCTGTATGTTTATACGTGTGCAGCAGGTGCCAGCTGGACGAGCATCATCCGTCCCTCCTGTTAGCTGCGTCAGTGCTCCTTCTAATTTCCCATAACCTGCTGATCGGCCGGCTGTTGTACTCTGAACCTTCCTATTGATTGTTTTCCTGCTGAACTAACAACATTCAATAACCCTTAATGCAACGCTCTCTGCAGGAGGCCGTGTTATCCCTGTACTCTCTCCATTCAAAAATCAACATCGATGTTGTGAACGCTTTAGCCCTCGCCTATAAGACACCCCCTCCCCTTCGTCAACCTAATGCAGCACTATATTCGGGCCAATATGGTACAGAATAAGATGAGAAAGTGTTAATAAGAAAGAGTGAACAGAAGCAGCTTAACAGTTGGTTGGAACTAAGCTGTGGTCAGCAAGCCAAGTGCGTCTGTCCCCCCCAACACACACGAATACGAGTGTGCACGCAGAGACGAGGAACAAACACACAGCAGTCAGTTGGCAACGCGCTGCAAATCAACAAGCCTTCTGACAGCACGCACACACACACACACACACACACACACACACACACCAGCGGCAGCAACACAACATTCACAAACAGTTTTCACATTCTGTGTCGGTTCTAAAGCGTCACTCCGGCCGGATTAACATTGCAGACGGGATTTCAAACTTGGTGAAATTACAGGATCTGAAATAGACATTCAGCATGGCGGGTTGAAACTTAAAGCAAATAAATCTGCTTAAAAAAAAAAAAAATCATAGAGAAAAGATTCCTGGAGAGATAGCTGCTCTTACATGCATGCTACGTTACAAACAGGAGCTGCTAATACCGCATTGGGACACACTTTCAATATCCAGTTTGACGAAATGTGAGCAAACACAAGATAAAAATAGAGTACGACGGATTATTATTGCAACGCTTACTTCTCTTATCGGTTATTGTTTCGTTCTGTTGTCAGTTTTATGTTGTTGTTTCCTTCAGGTTGGCACAATTTTTTCCCTTCATTTTGAAACAAAAGCCCAATTTCACAACGGTTTTCTTGGCTGTAGCTCCAGATGGGATTTAAATTAGAGTTTGCTGAAAAACAGGAGGTGATTGTCGCTGCAATTATCACTGAGTAGGAGGTTAAAAAAATTGACTTAGTTCTTGTTTTTGTGCTTGCATGCTATTAACCTTCTTACCTTTTTACACAACACAAAGTATAATCTTTTATGGTGGGCTTGCGTGCACATTTGATGTTGATTTCAGGCTAAAAAAAAAGTCTAACTGTTTTCTTTGTGTTTGCATTTAAGTAATCATGCTTCATAGTTGTGTTTGTTTATTTATGCTTCATTAACTGACTTTTTAAATTCTGACTGGGGGGGAATCCTCCTTCTGAACATGTCAGACTGACTCCTCTTCAGTCGGACTGTGGTGTGGTTTTTATTCTTTGATGCATTTGTCCTTATTTTCTACAGTTTTGTGTTGATGGAGGAGTTGTAATTCTCCAAAAATACACCCTGACCTTTAAACATGACCTTAACAGATTTATCTGTTTTGTTTTTTTTTCCCACAGCAGGAGAGAGGCAGAACCCGGCCCATGTTTAATGCAGAAGCGTGTTTAATTACACATCAGGCATGATTATGAAATGTCACATTTAATTTAATCTTAATTATTTACATCGCATCACACAGTAAATGGGTGATAGTAGAAAACACTGGCTGCTCTGTAGCGCCCTCCTGTGGCTCCTTAATGACATTGACCTTAGGTTTGTTTTTTTTGTTTTTTTAAAGCCTTGCTTCAAAAATATTACAAACTATTATTGCATTTTAATTTAAGGTATATAAACTGACTCAAATGCTGTGATTCCAGTAGTGGTGAACTTTATCTGTTTTTGTCCTGCAGGACTCTAGTCTTTACAGTTTAAACAATGAAAAGGAGCTACAGCTGATCTACAATACATTCTGTGATGTTAAAAAAATACAGGTTTTTATTGTCTTTTTGAGCTTGTAGAGCCGCGTTACATCTTACCCTCACTACATGTCAGACATCAGCCTACTGGAGCTGTACAGCAAGACTGATGACCAGCTAACATTCAGTAACAGCCTTGATGCAGGAAAGCTTTTGTTTTCCCTCCAAATGCTCTCAGTTGTCAAACATATACTTTAGACTGATTTTAATAACTTTAGCGTACTTAAAGTTCTTGGAAAATGGTATCGGATCAGGACTCAACAGATACTAAATATTAAGTGACTCAGATCAGGACGTCCCTTATTCAACACTTCATTAAAAGTAATATATAAGTGCAAAAAAAAACAGTGTCCAAACTCATTCATGTCTTCTTCTATAGTAGGTGGAACTGGTGTCAACGTGCTCTAGTGTTTGTGTATTGAGATGGACCCTTTGTGACCAGAAACCCTCGTCTCCCCGGTAACCCTGTCTTCATCGTCACCTCTTGCATGTGCAGGAAGAACTCCCCCTACAGGACACTGGAGCCGGTGCGCCCCCCGGTGGTGCCCAACGACTACGTCTCCAGCCCGACCAGGAACAATATGGCCGGCGGGCAGCTTCCGAGTCCGGCCCGCACCGCCACCCTCAACCACCGACCCCGAACGTACAGGTAGCCGGGTCGGCATGTGAACGTGGCCGCCGGAGCGGGGTTTCAGCGCTTCTAACTCTGCTGCTCTCATGGACATAACCCATCTTTTTTTGAAATTTGCTTTTGCTGTTTTACACTGAAAAAGGTGAATATTTAGCACATCAGTGTGTCTAGTTTGGGACTACAGGTTTAGAAAGTTTCACTCTCTGAACTCCAAGCAGCTTCTGGGCTTTTTACTCACTGTGGGCTCATTTTTCACAGCAACGTAAAGTCATGAAAACATCAAAACCATGACCAGAAGTAGCGAGAGCACAAAAACGCCATAAATTATAAAAAAGAAATAGATGAAAGTGTCCACAAGTGTTACCAATACTGGAAGGAAGTGGTGATGCTACATATTATAGATATTTTACTACATTAATTGTAATGTGTTTTCATACTCATTTCTGGTCTGCTCTATGGAGGCACAGCCTGCAGTTCAGCCCAGTCTTGATAATAATGTTCGTCGTGTGACTGTTGGTTGCAGCCGAGGCTCTAATTCGTCAGAGTCATGCCAGGGAGCACAGGATTTTTTGTTGTTTTTTAAGTTATGCATGTACAATACAGTGATTCTAATTAAATATTGCGGTTTTAAGCTTAGATTTGGACCGTTGTCCGTCACATCACAAAAGAGTAGCTCAAGAACCAACAGAACATCTGGCAGTTCTCTTTGTTTTTACATTTTCTGGCTCTGATAAATGAAAAGATAACATGCTTTTTTTTTTTTTTTTTTAACTTTGGGGCTTCAGAGAGTTGAAGTCACTCTTAGTAGTTTTGATCCTCAGTACAATGTGGGGCTAATAACAACCCATAATGGCTGATGTTCACGTGTTTCATCCCAAACTAGACTTACAGATGTGCTAAATATAAACTCATCATTACTCTCTCAACGCATTCTTCTTTTTTCAGCTTCTTTTACTTTGTGCTTCCATTCTTGGTCTTTCAAGCTGATTATTTCATTCGCAAAGTGACGAGCAAATATTTTGAATCTGCTTGAGACTCGTGACTATTTAACACTGGAAACAATTAGCCTAGCTTAGCATGAAGATAAGAAACAAGTGAAACCGCTGCCTAACTTGGAGTTTTTACACTTGATTTTTGTATAGATTTAGAACAAAACACCAGAGCGCAGTAGGTGGATTCTGTCGCCTCTAAATGGAGCTAAGCTAGTTATCTCCTCCAGTGTCCAGTCTTATGCTAAGCTAACTAGCTCCTAGTCATAGCTTCGTATTTAAAATCTGAGCATCTCATCAAGAAAGTGGATTTCCCAAAATGTCATTTGAGGATTGTTGGCAAAAAATATTGAAATTTGAGCAGCACATGACTATGGAAGAGGCAGAACGTTTTAATTTCCATCCTTGTCAGGGCGATTTGTCGTTACATTTTCCCCAAAATCTTTGCTCATGAGTTATCGCCTTTCTTTGGACGTCTTCGTTAGACTTTGCTTCATCACACTTTGGCTTCTCAGTTTGTCTGATATCTGCTGCTGTCAGTGTTTCCTCTGTGGTTTTATTCAGCGGTGATACTCAGGAGGCGAATACGCATTTGGTTTGATTTGAAACGCAGTATTGTGCGTTGCTAAAATTATTCAATGTACTGCAGTCAACTATGGATAATTGATCGTTAACACTAAAAAGATATCAAGCTGGATTCACGAATTACATAAATATTATAAGAAAAATTTGGCAAAAGTTATTTACCTTTAAAAAAAAACAATTAAAAAAAACAATAAATGTTGAATATTTACTAATGTTCGATTTTAAATAAACATATTGAGTTTTTCAGCTACTTACTTTCCAGTATCTCCTATTGAGCATCGTCCTATTGATTGTGAATCCTGCTGATTTTATTACATTTCTAAATACCTCCCGCTGCGTCGCCGCTGAGAGAACACAGAGGACACACGATACTAACTTTCTGCTTCCATCCTCACAGCATCGACTAACCGATTTCCTTCTCATTCATTGATTTGCTTTCAGTTCAGAGCTCTCCGTTGCGGTTTACGTAACTGTACGAGCACGTTGGTGTCCTGGATGGGAAGCGAACGCTCTGAAAGCATCGCCTTGTAGTTTCGCTCGTACATTTTTAATTTTTTTTGAAAGTGTTTGTGTGTTAATGTGAAAGCAACACTTTTGAGGTAATTATTTAGAGCTGCTAGAATGATAACGAAGATGAGAAACAACACAAACAGTTCATATAGTTTCTGTCTCATCGTTTCTCACCTCATCATTGACTGTTGAACTCTATTTTATTGCATTAGAATTAAGTAGTAAATGAAGTAATTGAATATTTAGATTCAGGCTCTTTGTTGTTCTTCCCATCCAACCCCCACCTTCGTCTCTGGAGCCTTCAGCCAATCAGATCATGTGTCATTGCTTCTGTGCTTTAACGGTAACTGAACTGAATGATGCTGTTTCTCTACAGGCAGCTGACTTCCTGTCTGTTTTTTCATCTCGTTTCCTCCTGCTTTTGCCGTTATTATTTATTTTCTTCGATCAGTCTTTTGATGATTATTAGAAAAAATGAAAATTTCTTATTAGAAAAAGTTTATTTTTATACCTTTTTGCAAGAGAATGCAGGATACTGTACCAAACACAACAAGAGAATCCCTCAGTGGGGAAATTTGCAGCATAAAGTAAGTATAATAATAAAAGTAAACCAAAATGTACATGAGTACTAGTTCTACAAGTGGTATTGCAGGTTTTTTGGATGAACAGAAATACTGATTTTATGACTGCACAGATTGTGCACAGGGTTTTTAAAGTGCAGAATATTCACAATTACCATGAACCATTGGGCCAAAATATAACTATATAATACCTTTCCAGGGTAGGAATGGTAGAAAGAAAATAATAAAGTAATAAAATAAAAGACAGTTCAAGAAAATGAAAACTCTTCTGTAAAAGTATGTTTTCAGAACAGATTTAAAAGACATTAGTGATGAGCTTTAGGACCTTTTTTTGCGGCTAAGGTCTGAAATTGTAGTAAATTCAATGAAACTACATTAAAACTACTTAAACACCAGAGACAAGTTATCGCATAAACTGAACATAAATACAGAGCTTATGGATAACTATGGTCTGTCTGTGTCCCTGCAGCGGCAGCAGCGGAGGCAGCCATCCCAGCAGCAGCAGTCGCAGCAGCAGCAGGGAGAACAGCGGCAGCGGCAGCGTCGGCATTCCCATCGCCGTGCCGACGCCCTCCCCGCCCTCCACCTTCCCAGGTAACGCACGCATGCGTACATACATGTGCATGCAAACTGGTGCCGTGCTGTGTTTAAATTTGACTTTTACGTTGTTTGTATTAACACAGGAAAGAAAAAACTCTGTCGTAGTGAAGCTCAGGAGGATTGTAGCTGGGCTTTATTAGCATTTTATTAAATGTTCAATCCAGTATCAAATACACCAATCAAATCCACATCAGGTGTAACTTTGGTTGTTTGGAGGTAACTACAGCAATAACTAACCTCCTCCCTGCCTAATTTTTATTTAATTTTAAGTCTCTGCTTTGTGGACACTTCTGAGGCCACAGAACTGAAGTAGAGCAAAAAATTTATCAATAATCAGTCAATAAAAGTGCAGATAATCAGAAAAATTCCCAGTCAGTCACGATAATTAGTCTAACTCTAATTCTGACTAATTACGACCAAGAGGGCCGATCATAGTTGTTGCTGTAACGTTTCAGTGCACAAACATAAATCAAGCTTGAGCTGCACTTTAACCTTCCTTCTTTACTACTTCCTGTTTTCCCTCCTTCCTCTCCTCCTCCCTGAAGTTTCCCCGACTACTGGACCTGCTAGCTCCTCCTCCACAGCTCCTAACTCCTCCCCTTCACCCTCACCGACTCCCTCCTCCTTCTCCTCCTCCTCGTCCACCACCACCCTAACACAACCCAACGCTCCTTTGCCGCCAAACTCACCCTCGCAACACGCCGACTCGTCTCCTCAGCAAAGCTCGCGGCCGAACGCTCCCAACGCCTCCCCGCTCTCTAACCCCTCCCCCAGCGCCGCCGACGTCCAATCAGAACTGTCTCCTCTCCTTCCTCCCGCCCCTCCTCCTCCACTGTCCTCCTCCTCCTCTTCCTCATCACCTGCTGAAGGTGAGTTTCTTCAACACCTCCGTCGCCTGCCAGCCTCACCAGCTCTCCTCCCGTTGTTTCCCTTCATTCAACCTACGTTTTGTAGTTCACAATGTCGGAGTCACGTGTTTCTGTGTTTAATGGTTACTGCTGCAAGAGAAAAACGACTTAGGACTAAAAAATGTGAAGGAATAAGCCTTTATTAGTCCCACTGTGGGAATATCTGCAGTGTTACAGCAGCAAAGATAGTGTAAACGTTTAAGGATTGTAGTGCAAAAGTCAAAAATAGACCAAAACATACACAAGCACGAGTTCTAGAAATAACAGTATTGCACACATCATTGCACAGATTTGTTCATAAGTAGAAAAATAACAATATTGCCCATATTCTAGTATATATGTCTGTGCAGTCTACTGGAATAAATCAACACTTTGGAAAAATCTGTATATTAGCATTCTTGCTGAATCATTAGCGCTGACCTTAACCCTCTAAACCCCGAGCAGTTTCAGTGCTGCTTGGTCTATTTTCCACTGCAGCATAAATCAGAAATGCTTTTATTGATCCCCGAGGGGAACCTGCATCTCTATGGAAACAACACGACCACGGCTAGATGAAGACAGAACTTAATAATGTCTTCTATGTATTACAGAAAAGTTAGAATTTAGTGTTTATTTCACAAAAAAAATGACTGGAGTTGACGCACACAGACATTTTCCAGGTGCCCACAGGTGTGAAATGTACTAGAAACAATGGTGGCTCAGCAATACTGTAGATGATTAGCTACTTACATGTTTAATCCTCCTGCGTTAACATATTAAACTAATGGTTTCTCTGTGTGCAGAGGACAGAATTTTTAGTGTTTTATAGAATCTGGTTAGTATTTACTTCTGGGAAATTTTTAGATTTATTTATTTTTGATAGAATCCGTGTTGTGCAAAGTCTGTATTTTTGGCAATTAAAAAAACAAAAAATGTGTATAATAATATTATTTTTTGATGAAGTGTCATTATTTTAAGCTTTGGTTTGTTAAGTTGTTATTTAAAGGAACTCCTCCTCACACATTAGTACTTTACGGACTGGATTTCTGTTTGTTTTTAGCTTCCAGCTTCAATCATTTTAATGATTTTTTTTCAAAAACGGTACGCCTTTTATCTTTAGTGCAGGGGTGTTGAACTCCGGTCCTCGAGGGCTGCAATCCTCCATGGTTTAGATGTTTCCCTCTCCCAACACACCTCATTCAAATGATCAGCTCATCATCAAGCTCTACAGAAGTCTGATAACGATCCTGATCATTAGAATCAGGTGTGTTGGAAGAGGGACACATCTAGAACATGCAGGATTGCGGCCCTCGAGTACCGGAGTTCGACACCCCGGCTTTAGTGGATTATATGTGAGCAGGAAGTTAACTTAAAGATTCACTCAAACTTGCCGTGATAATCTCTTGTCTCCTGCAACAGCAAGAGAACAGGCAGCATTTAACCATATAACAGCTGCAAATGTCGACAACGAAGGCTGTAATTCATTATCCACGGGGAATTATTGTCAAAGTGATGTCTTGTTTTCTTCCACTTATGCGATAGGAGTGTGACCAATCAGGGAGAAATGTGTAGTAAAAGTTTAGACTCAAAGTCAGAAAGCAAACACGGGTCTCTTATGTCACGTCATGTTTCTGACTTCAGACCGAAAAAAAAACATCCTGGAGTTACTAAAACTGGGTCATTTCCAAAAATCTCCCTTTTAGGAGTCCCAAGATAAGATAAGATAAAACTTTATTAATCCCGAAAGAAGCTGATGTGTGCGAGCGTAAACATAAATTGTAAGATCAGATAAGATAAGCTGTTATTAATCCCACAGTGGGGAAATGTGCAGCGTTACAGCAGCGAAGCCGAGAGCACAAACATTAAGGAACGTGGTACAGAAATAAAAAAATAAACCAAAATATGCATAAACACTAGTTCTAGAATGAGTTTTACATTAAAAGCTCACTAGTGTGGATGACGCCTGAAGCTCACGAGCCTAAAGAATTAATTTATTCAAACATAAAAAGCTCAGGTTAGCCGTGTCCTTCAGTTCCCAGTCTTAATGCTAAGCTACGCTAACCAGCTGTGAGTGATAATAGTGGATATTTTCATATAATTCTTGATCTTACTGTTGACTTACGCCCTTAAATTCAAAATGTTATTGACGAGCAGCCTGCATTGAAATAAACAAAAGTATTTTAAAAAGTGTGGCACAAGATAATCCGACCAAGACGATGAATAACAACGTTTACTTATAAAGCATCTCTGCTGCTTCAGGTCCCATCGTCCCTCAGTTCTACAGCATGAACCGGCCTCAGCCTCGACAGCAGACTCCTCAGGTGGGGGGTTCGCTGCCGTACCGCCGGCCCCCCTCTGTGACCGGCCAGCCAATCGTAACGCAGAATCAGGTCAACGGCGGCCCCTACTACAACCAGAGCCCAGGTACGTACCGTGAAACACCACGAAAGTCCTCGCTGAGAGCGCAAACTGGTTCATAGTGGATCAAAATTAACTGTTAGCATAATTAAAAAAAAAAAAAAAAGTTCACGCCTGACTGTCTCATTTGTCTGATTTTTTAAAATTGTTAAGTAACATGTGTAAAATCTGGACTCACAAGATGGGTCATGTTGATTTTTGTGCAGTTTTCTTTGCGCCAATCTGTTTGAAGAGCAATAACTTGAGAAATATTGTGGTTAGAGTCCTGAAATGTTGCAGGTTCATTGATCTGACATGTGGTCTTTAATGGTAGAATCCTGCTTTGATAACAGTTATATGATGGTGCACATTTGGTCGGAAAATGTGCATGTTTTTTTCTACTCCAACCATAAAACTTTTACTTTTCACCCTACAAGATAGATTTTTTTCCCCTGGCATTGGCACCAAATATTTAGAATATGGCAGAGGCATACTTTATGAGAAAAGTACACATTTATAGCCAGTATTTGAACATGCATTAAGCAGGTATATAAAAAAAAAAAATCAACATGACCTCACCCCTCTTTGGTACCTTGAACTCCAGGTTTTACTTTATAGTCGACTCAATCAATACTCACCATTCTGTCCAATTGGAGATGGTCAGGTGTGGAGTATCCCGTGAATTGAGGCAGAATGACCCAGTAGTATGTTATTAAACTCTAGCTTTGTGTGTTCACAGCCTCCCCTCCACCTCCGTCCCTCCTCCAGTTCACCCCTCAGCTTCCTCTGATGGGTTTCGTCGCTCGTGTTCAGGAGTCCAGTGAGTAAAACCGCAGCTTTTTTTTTCAATCCTGCATCACAGAAATGTTTCCTTTCATATTATTGTGTCCGCCTCTGTTGGCATAACGTACCTCCGCCTCCAGTTTCAGACGCCCCTCCTCCCCCCCAACCTGCCGCCGAGAGCCAATCAGGGCCCGAGGAGGCCCCGCCCACTCCTGAGCCGCTACAGGACGGACACGAGGAGGAGGACTCGGCCGTGGTGGAGTACAACGACCCGTACGCTGAGGAAGACCCTCCGTGGGCCCCCAGGAGCTACCTGGAGAAAGGTACGCCTCAGGAACACGTGCAAGGTCTACAAGCTCCGCCCCACTTTATTAATCCAGCTGTGATAAACTGATCAACGTATGATTTGTGTTCCTTGGTAGCATCTCTGCCGGACACACTGATTCAGATCCACGTTTTAATTCATTTGGAACTTCCTTGCTTTAAATATTTCTTATCTTCTTGTTGGTTGGCAGCAGATCAGCTCAGAACCAACTTCAGCGGCTGCTTGTTGTTTAATTTCACTCCTTTGATGAGAGTACATTTATTCTATTTCGGTCCGATTTTAGACATATGATTTTTGTTTTCGTCAAACAAAAACCAAAGATGTCTTAGCCTCGTGTTTGTTGAAGCCGACCGCAGCTGTCGCCATCTTTTTGCACACGGTTGCCATGGTTACACGTGTCATTCTGGTGTATTTTGATGAAACAGCAGAATGACTGTGTTTACACGCACCAGTGTTTCTGTGATGAGGTGGTTTTGGTCACATTCAGGATGCGCTGTTTACATGGAGCACAGAGAAATCTGGTGATTCATTTCCCCGTATACACGGTTAATACTAGTATCCTGGTTACTGAGGGCCGCCTGCTAAAATTAAGACGCTTTGGCTGTTAACAGGCTCTGCACAATGAAATTACACTTCTTTTTTTTTTAATTCACCTCATTGACAACAACAGGAGGCAAAAGTGACGAGAAGTTATTAAACAACCGAATCTTTGTTGACATGTGTATATGCGACAGTATCCTGGTTTGTATCAGAATTTCAGACGGCTTAGTTGTTTTTCTCCAAACTGGAAACCCTCCAACAAACAGACATGAAAACAAGATGCTACACAAACCTGATGATGGCGGAAAAACTCAAGTCAGTGACTCTCTTCAGTTCTTCTAGTTCTAATTACAAACTCAGTTTCAAGAGGTGATTTGGTCTCCAGTCAACGCTGCTCATCCAGCATTAGCATTAGCATTAGCACAGCCACACACAGACGCTGATTTACTACGATCTGGAATACAGTATTTCTGATACAACAAAAGTTTTTCTTCCATTTTTTTTTCTGTTTGTAGCGTGAAAAATGTTCAGCTGACATAAACTTAGCATTTTATAAATGTCAGCTGCTGCCTGCATGTTCCTACGGTTGTTTCTTGTTTAATGTTCAGTAAAATGTAAATGAATTTAGTCCATAAATCTGTATCTTAACGTCACATAGCGTTACTGACAGAGACGGAACTTTACTTAAATACAAGATGTTTAATATTGACTGCAACAAGTCAAACAGATAAACCAGCTTTTACTGATCAGAAGCTGCACTTTCAATGATTTTTTTTTTGGTATTTAGTCGTTATTTTAAAAGCAGCAGCACAGAAAGACCTGAAATGCAGAGAAAGAGAGCAGGACGATGACCAGTTACGCTCTAACCATTACATTAAAACAGTCATCAGTTCGTTTATTGTCCATATTTTACTTTAGGGATTTAATTTGTTGTGGAAAAATGTAAAACTTGTGTTGAACTCTGCTGCACTGCTTCATAAATCACTCAACATGCTGCTCGTCAGTAACACTATTTCGGCGTGTTTGTCGCCCCCCAGTGGTGGCCATCTACGACTACACGGCCGACAAGGAGGACGAGCTGTCGTTTCAGGAAGGAGCCATCATCTACGTGATCAAGAAGAACGAGGACGGCTGGTTCGAGGGCGTGATGAACGCCACCACCGGCCTCTTCCCCGGAAACTACGTGGAATCCATCATGCACTACGCCGACTGAGGAGAAGCTGCAGCTCGGAAGGGAAAAGCCGACTCGGTTCCACTTTGTTTTGTTTGGCTCCTTTAGATTCTCACTAACAATCAGAGCTTGTGGAGATAAATCAACACTTTGTTAATATGTTTACTGGACAGAGATGCTGTCATCTTGAGGCTTTGCATTTAGGGGTTCTTTGAGTAGGTGGTCTGCACTGCCTCAACGTTAAGCCGGTTAAATGTAAAAACACACAAAAGTTCGTCCGCATCAGGCATTTTATCTACCGCTTGGTATAAATGGGTCAAAGCCTTGTTGTGCTTCATCTTCCTGGTTTAATTCAAGAAAGCAACGACATGCAGCACTTTTGCCACAACCAGTTTTCTCAGATATGCGACAGAAAAAGGAAAGAAAAAGATAAAGACCTGGACGTGTTCTTAATTTAATCTGGTGTGTCAAACATCTCCACACATCCAGGTTTGCACCGTGGTGGTTGTTTTTTGTTTTTTGTTTTATCTTTTATCTTTTTCTGATGTCCTCAGAAGTCGGTACGAACAGTCGACCTTCCAAGTGATGCCGTTTATCCAGCAGCAATATTAAACGTTTATCACATAATCTAAACCCACTTAAACAGCAATAACCCCGAGCAAAAGCAATCCTCGTAGGTAATAACTGCTTTTCTATTGCACAAAAAGGGATGATCTCCCCACAGTCCAACAAAACAATTAGATGGTGACCAGTGTTTCTGTGATTGTACAGAAACATGAAATTTTAAATGTAGTTTTCTTCTGATCACAAGAAATGCGTTGCAGGATCTTGACATGAGTTTAAAGCCGCTCGATGTGCGGTTACATGTCCAGGAATGTCATGGGAAATCACGGAAACGCTGCTGTTCAGAGAATTCAGACAGAAACTGCTAGCAGCTTATTTTGCGTCGACTCGTCAGAATGCGAGCGAAGACTTTTTTGGCCGTGCACGGTTTTGCTATTACAGATGTTTATCCTGAATTGAAACTGAAAACTCGTGGACAAGAGGCAGAAATGGCCGCCGTAGAACACACAGAGTGAAGCTCGTGTGCAGATTGGTGGCGTTTCTGAGTAATCCAACATATTGTGAATTAAAAACATGACTTTACTAAACAGCTATAAATAAAGCAGCTCAAACGGCTGACAGAGAATTACAAACGCTGTCAGAAGCTTTTTGTTTAGTTGTAATTTAGTAGTAATTCGTGGAAAACAAATCCTTCCAGGTTTGTCTCAGAATCTTTTGTGATCAGAAGAAAATGATGCTTTGGAAATATTCCCTCAACTCCTCGTTCGTTTAACCTTTGCCTTAACAGACACCTTCCACCTTCCTGTTTTCTCATCAGCTTTATTATTGTTATTTTCTGTCAGCGAGGTTTAAAAAAAATGATATTAAAATAAACTACAGATGAAGTAAAGGAATAATGAAGCTTGACACTAATCAAACTGCAACAGAAGAAGGAAGCAGGAACGTTTGAAGGTGTGTGAGAGAGTTTTGGTGGTTTGTTGGTTAATCGTGGGACTATGATAAGTTTCCTTACACGTCTTCCTGTTGATGTGTAACTGTGTGAAAAGAAAGTCAAAGGAAGGAAACGGTCAGATCATATTTGACCTTAACACCCACGTGTTGATCAGTGTCGAGGAGAGCCGCCTGTGTGTTCATCAGCTGATAGTTTAAAGATTTTATTGCAAAATGAATGATCTTTACAGGACAGTTGAGGTTATTTAAGGTAGTTTATTATATAATTTACAATAAATCTGTAAAGTTCAGTTCATCTAATTTCAAAGATAAATCAAACAAGCCTCTTATTTAATCTAAAGTTTTCGTTTCATAGAAGTCAGTTAAAACGGTTGAACGCTTATTTACGGTTCACAGAAGTTATATCCTGTCGGCCTTTTTTTGACGCTCCGTCTGGTTCAGTCAACAAAACTTTGGTTTAAAACTAAAGACATCAGCTCGTGTTTGCTAATCGACTGTAAACATTTATATTATCGACACCAGTCAAATCGCAAGGACAGAAAAAACAACACCTCGCTGAGTGTTAGACGACACAAATGCTGATTTGCAGCAGAATCAGGAGCTCTGACGTGTTTTCTCTCCGTGTTTCTGATCCGAACGCAGCACTACAAATGTAAAACACGTTAAAAGCTTAACCGATTGAGTTCTGACAGCTTTTTAAATCTGCAGTAACGATCTTTGTGCGTAGCTGCTGTGTTGTGTTGTTGCACTCTGTGCTACAGAAATGCAGCCAGATTTGTAGACAGACAGCAAAGTGCACAGCTAGAGTCACCAGACGGCTAAATAAGCTGTACAGTCATGTGTTATTGTGATTTCAATGGATTTATTATCGATAGAAACTCAGAAACACTTGATTCCTTTAAGCTATGAACTGTGAATAATCAAACTCATTTTCTTAAACTTTCTCGTTAAAGTGGATCAGAAAGTCGACAGAGAGTCTAAATGATCAGGAGGTGGATGAGGCAGGAGATCATATAAAAGCACTTGTCTCCTGTGCTGTGGGTTTAAGGGTTCTGTTTTTGTAGATTTTAAAGCAATCGAGACCTTAAATGAAAGAGTTGCAGCCTTTCGATTAGTTTGCCGTCCAGCCTGAAAGCTTTAAGTAATGATTGACCTGAAAAAACACAACATAAGCACTTGTTTTTGTTTGTTTTTTTCAAGATATTTCTTCTAGTTTTTGGCTATTTTTATTAAAAAGTGGCTGCAGCAACACTAGAGTTCCCCTCCTGTGGCCTTTAAAATGTGAAACCTCTCAAATGAAAAGCCTGATATTAGCTAAAGCACAACCTAACATATGATCGTATTTGTCACCAGGACCAGACCAGGCTACGATCCTGTGAAGAAAACTGATCAGACGTACTAGAAGTTTCTCCCCAGTCTGACCTCTGAGCCTTTTTATTTTTCTCTCATCGTGGTTTCGTGGTTGCGTAGTCGTGCAGTGAAGTGGACCTGAACGCGTCGCCGGGTGGAGATTCTGGACCTGTTGCCAGTTTTTAAAAGTTTACAGTGTGTTTGCCTGCATGCCTGATATATAACTGACATTTTTACTCACCGCGTTTTCATAGTCTTCATGTTCTTTATTTCTTTTTCTTTTTTTTTAATATATATATATATATATCTATAGTTTCACCGACTTGCTTTATTCTGTCTGTTTGACCAGCTGGAGGTTTGTGATGTTTCTGTGCAGTTGTTGGTTGTGACGGCCCTTTAACGGAAGTCCTGCGTGCTCGGACTTCAGACGGACGCTCAGATGGAGGCGGAGGATGTTTCTGTGCCATATGTGTGTGTGTGTGTTGTGGATGCAGATGTGTGTGTGTGTGTGTGTGTGTGTGAGAACCAAACCTTCCCTCGTCGACTGAAGTGACTCTGGACCTGAGAACAGTGTTCCCTTGTTGTACAGTGTTATTTAAAAGGCATTTTACCACAAAAGCCAGAGTTTGCCAAATGAACGCTCCTGAAGTTTGTCCAGAAACTCACTTCAGTCGTCTCACTGCTTCCTGAGAGGAAAAAGGATATTCTCATTGTTAGAGACATTTCTGAAAGGCTCAGTATGAAACTGTTTTCCATCAGTTTATGTTTTCTAAAAGCATCTTTAGTGACAAAACCACAACTAATACTTATTTTTATTATGAATGAATCTGCTTCATTTGTCAAATACTTTATTATATGTCCAAAAAAAATGACAATAAATTGTTTTAAAAATTGCTTATCTGCCGAGCAGACGTCTTTAAATGATAGTAATTTTATTTATATCCAGTTGTGTCAGCACAAACTGTTACACAGACTGAAGTGAGAACAGAATGATATAATCAGAACCTCTTTGACCCAGTTTTTGTGAAAAACCTTCAGATGAACACTACATATAACAAAAGCAGCACAGAGCCTCTACATAGAACAGAAAAAGTTGTAAATTCAAATTAGAAATTAATAAAAATACAAACAGAATACATGATTTTATTGAAAATGCATAAAAAGCAGCCAAAAGAATTAAGCTGAGCAGTAAAAAAAAACAAAAAAGCCATTAATAATACTTTATTATATGTCCCAACAAATGACTTATTGCTTATTAGAATCTTCCAGATGCCAAATAAACATCTTTAAATAATAGTAATTTTATTTATATCCAGTTGTGTCAGCACAAACTGTTACACAGACTAAAATGAGAACAGAATAACACAACTAGAACCTCTTTTACCCCCTTTGTGAGAAACTTTAGAGCCCAAATGTGAAGGAATGAACACTAAATATAGCAAAAGCAGCACTGAGCCGGTACATAAAACAGATAAAAATGTTAATTCAAATTAAAGACATGAATTAAAATACAAATAGATTGCATGATTGTATTGAAAATGCAACCAGAAGAATTAAGCTGAGCAGTAAAAAAAATTAAAAACGGATCCATAAATAACGACAGACAAACTTCAGAGTGACTGAATCTCTTTGAAAAGAGAAACTTTGGCAAACTCTGGTTTTTGTTCCGCCTGCAATATCCCTTTAAAGTGTGGACTGAGGAATTAGACTATCTGTGAAACGCTGCAGATGGCTTCTCCGAGGCTGATTTTTACCAGGAACCTGCTTCGTCATCCTCCCTGCAAACATTTCATGATGAGAAAAACGCCTCCAATCTGGATCCAAAACCCACAAAGTAAACAAATGAATTGTACTTGAAGTCTATTCAGGTTTGAACTAAACAGAAAACAATCAATCTGTCTGGGAAAGTTTTTACCAGATGGTTGCTGTGTTTTTACCTATAAAATCAAATCTCATATTCCTACTTTTGAAATGCATTGAACAGATGCAAGTCAAACAGAGACTTCACCTGAACGTTTAGCTTTAAGGTGACAGTTTATCAGATTATCAGCCTTTAGATTAGATTATTGTGTTCCCTCCTCCGTCTGCAGGATGTTCCTGGTAGAACATGATGTCCGGAGAAGCGTTCTGCTTTCCAAAGTGAAGTACGACTAAAAGCACATCGCTCTTTTGTAAGA